GTCCCTTACCATATTGTGATGCCTGCGGCAACCACATGTGATGATAATATCTTAATAATATATAATAAAACCAGGCAGATCTCGCGAGACACATCGGATCTCGTCACACCCCTAAATGCAACACCATAAACCTTAAAAAGACTGTAAAAACATTGATTTAAACAGCTTTACACTGTCAAATTGAAGTAAGTTTGAAGAAGAATGTAAGTCCTTTAATAAAATTATAAGCTTGGAGGCGGGACTATCTGTTTGCCTGACCAATGGCATTGTTTATGGGAAACTTGTTTGAAAACAGGCATTATTTTTAATGCAGTGACACAGAAATTACACACTTCAGATTTTTTTTAAAGTTATTATAAAGCGTAACTCCAAAATATCACAGTACAAACTGTCCAAGCCCATATGACAAGATCTTCAATTATTTCCCTAACAAAAAAAGAACTGTGGAAATACAGTAGTACAATAATGAATCAGATGTTAATAGGCTACCAGAGTATTTTGATATACAACATGGTACTAAATATTTACCATTTTCATATGCCATGGTAGTTATGTGGTTCTTTGCAGAGTAATTAAAGGGGTCATATGACGCTGCTAAAAAGAACATTATTTTGTGTATTTGGTGTAATGAAATGTGTTTATGCGGTTTAAGGTTAAAAACCACATTATTTTCCACATACTGTACATTATTGTTTCTCCTCTATGCCCTGCATTTTGGAAACGCGTCGATTTTTACAAAGCTCATCGGTCTGAAAAGTGAGGTGTGCTGTGATTGGCCAGCTATCCAATGCGCTGTGATTGGCCGAATACCTCAAGCGTGAGATGGAAATGTTACACCCCTCACCATATTGTGATGCCCTGTACGGCCGGAGCGACGAGACAAAACCATTAAAACCCATTACAAACGAGGCATTTGTTGCATCCAGTGGGGACATAATTACTGATCATAATGACTTATACTGTCTTTCTACGCGTTGCGTTGCATTGCATCGCGCCGCGTAAACATAAAACTCTGTCTGCATTTGTGATCAGAGAAATGACAAACAACAAGTGCTACTCTACACTGCTCAAAACTCGCGTTTGAATCATCAGTGGCAACGAAAAACACAGCGGCCTAGCATGAGGGGAAGCCCCGGCTTAGCGTGCGCTGAGGCCAGGATAGAGTGAGCTGAGGCGGGCTGGATTCCGCTTCGTCCACGGTGAAAGTTGATGTATTCCCTCAGCGACCAGCACGGATCAGCTCTAGGCATGACGAAGCAGATATCCTCCTCTTTTGGAAGACCAAACAAAGTAGTTTCGCTTTCACAACGAAGCACACAGCGTCTTCAGGACATGGCGGCAGCAACAATACTACAGCGAGAATAAAAGTTACCTTCTTTCTTTGCGTGAACATTTGGGCGGCGTTATGCAAATCTTCCCACATAGTGATGTAGACATGTGGGGGCGTGTTAGAACGAGCCGTTTTAGGTAGGCGTGGTTAACTCTTAACTTTTATAAAGAATATCTCTTTGGTTTTGAGACTTTAGTGTTTGCAACTTTACAGATCTTCTTTATGCACCAAGAGCTTGAAACACTCCAAAGAGAAAGGAAAAATTGAAATCGCATCATATGACACTTTAAAAGAATATGGTACCTGTCGACAAAAACATGGTAGTAAATCGGTTTTACTGCATTTAACATTATACTGAATCATGTTGTTTAAAAATATTAAGACAGAAACGGTGAAAAGTGTTGGTTTCATGTAAACATGTCCTATATAGCAATCATTTATCATGGTAACCATAAGTTCTCCTAAAATACCATAGTAACTAGCTACTATTAGACTGTAGATCACAGTAAATTAATAAAAGATCTCCTAAATATGCTCTCTTTGGAATATACGGTACAATAGTAACTTATTTCGGCGGATATTTATCATGGTAAATGTTTGTAATAATGTACAGTGATACAGTCTTACGAACCGTCATCAGAACGCACAATTTAACGTTACAATTCATCGAAATCAATCGCAGTTCTGTTAAAAGAGTAAGTTAGATCAACCATGAGACCGATCCGAAACGCCTCAGAACGACGTGACCGAATGGACTGATTCTTACCCGTTCTTCTGAGGTGAAAGTCTCCGTGAGTTCTTGCTAAAAGCTCCACAGAGTCCGTGAGTCCGTGTGAATGATGTGTCGGTTCAACACAAACGTCTTCAGCGTTTGTCAACATCAGCAGAGAGACTCAACTACTTCAGCTGATTTTAGGAAGAAAGAAAAAAACGAAATATGTGAATGCAAACAACGGTTAAATACCTAACCCAAGGGTAGTTCACATATTTAGTCTATAAAATATAATTATTGTTACAAATTATTGCAATTTATTAAATATTAGTTCTCCTTTTCCATTGTGACTTGTTTTATGGTTCTAATTTTACAAAATTAAAAAATACAAAAAAATAGTCCATTATAAATTTTAAATACAGAATGTTTTGGATGACTTTACTTTACTTTGTGTGTGTATTTATATATATATTTTTTTTACTTTATATCAGTTATTTTAGTATTAGTTTTTGTTAATATTTTGAATTACATTTTTTTATATATTCTGTTTTTAGCTAAAGTTAAGTTAAAGTTATAGCAATATTGATGTTTGTCATTTATATTAGTTTTAACTATATGTCTATATAGTTTTTAATGTATTTATATTTATTAATTTTAGTTATTTAGTATTTCAAGTTAAACTAAACAAAATGAGAATGATGTGGCCTTGGCAGCTGAAATTAAATATTATTTCAAGCATATATATATATATATATACATACACAAAATAAATGTATAATACAAAAAAAATAAAAATTCTGTTGCTTGAAATAAAATAAATGTTAACTGAATATATATACAAACCCGATTCCAAAAAAGTTGGGACGCTGTACAAATTGTGAATAAAAACAGAAGTGAATCCCAGGTACGGAATGGTTGCAGGTTCACTACATGAAAGACACCTGCGTCTTCCCCCGTACTCACGTCCGTGAGCCCATAGTTCACATCTGACAGTTTCTGTGTGATACGATACGGTCCTGTATACAAAGGTGCCAGCTTGGCTGTGAAGCTTGCCAGGGCATCAGATCGGGGATGTGTCCTTACTCTAACCAGGTCATTCACACAGTAAGAGACAGAACGACGTTTACGATCATAATAATGCTTTCTTTTAGCATGGCTACAATCCAGGACAGCCCTCGCATGATCGTGTGCTTCCTGAATTGATGACGTCAGGCTTTCAGGGTAAGGAATACCTGGCTCACCAAAACCATCAGAGTTTGGCTGTGTAATGAGATCGAGAGGCGTATCCAATTCCCGTCCATACAACAACATTGAAGGGCTTTGGCCTGTACTCTCATGTGGGGCGGTTCTCAGGGCAAAACAAATTTGCGGAAGATAACGGTCCCAAGCGGTGTGTTTGTTGCCGATGTAGGCACGAATGGCAGTCTTCAAGGTGCGATTCACCCTCTCTGTTGCATTAGTTTGGGGGTGGTACGCAGTCGTGAGTCTGTGTTCAGAGCCCAATGCAGAGAGTACATTTTTGAAAAGTTCACTAACAAAAGGGGACCCTCTGTCCGAAATCAGGTATGTAGGGGCACCATGTCGTGCAAAAACCTCACTGAGCAGCTTGCTTGCCGCTACCTGTGCAGTTGCTTCTCTCACTGCACTGACTTCCACCCACTTTGAAAAATAATCCACAAAAACAAGGATATAAGCGTTTCCGCAAGATGTGCGAGGTAAAGGCCCTACAAAGTCAACTCCAGTGTACTCCCAGGGTCTTTGGGGACAAATCGGTATCATAAACCCAGCAGGCTTCCTTTGGCTAGGTTTAGTGAACTGACAAACAGTGCAAGAAATTACATACTTTTTGGCCTCCGACGACATTTTTGGCCAGAAAAATCTGTGTTTTAGTCTTGCCACAGTTTTTGTCGTCCCCAAATGTCCAGCGGTTGGGTGATCATGGTAATATTCCAGCAAAGATCGTCTGATGGCAGTAGGAGCATAAAGCTTAAGCTGTTTCAGAGGGTGAAGGCTACACAACACTTTGCCGTCTTTGAAGTACAGAAGATCATCATGCATTGTATATTGTAACAGCTCTCCTGTGTCACTCTCCTCTTGTCCTTCAAGCGTGCGTATAAGTTCCCCTGTAACCGGGTCATTGAGTTGCAGCTGTCTTATGTGCTCGCGATCTGAAAAGATCACAGGAGGCAAGGCACGCAGATCAAGGCCCCCTATAACAGCGTACTCAGGCAGAATGTCCATGGGTGCGTCACAAAAAGGCATGGGGTTTCGAGACAGGGCATCTGGAACTTTATTACTAACCCCTGGCTTATGGACAATGTTAAAATCAAAATCTTGTAAGCGGAGGGACCACCTAGCCAGCCTGCCTGTGAAATTTGTGCGGGACATTAACCATTGTAGACTGCTGTGGTCCGAGACAACGGTCACATGAAGACCCTCAACATACGGTCTGAAGTGTTCTAGGGCCCAGATGACAGCCAAACACTCCTTTTCTGGAGTAGCATAAGGCTTTTCAGATTTGTGCAGTGCACGGCTCGCATAGGCCACCACAACCTCTCTGCCATCCTTGCCCTTTTGCATGAGGGCGGCACCAAGTCCGACATCACACGCATCAGCGTGAACGAAAAAAGGAAGGGAAAAGTCCGGAAATCTCAAGACAGGTGCAGAAGTCAACTTGTCTTTAAGGTAGTCCATGGCTCCCTGACATGCATCTGTCCATACGAACAGAACATCTGCCCTGGTAAGTGCGAACAGTGGCTCTGCATGGCGAGCGTATTCGTGGATAAAACGTCTGTAATAACTTGTCAGTCCTAAAAACTGTCTGACTTGTTTGACGTTGACTGGTACTGCAAAATCTGTGACTGCTCTCACCTTGTCCTTGTTTGGCAGGATGCCCTCTGCGGTGATGTTATAACCAAGGAAGGTAAGTTCGCTTCGGCAGAACTGACACTTTGCTAGCTTTATAGATAGTCCTGCTGACTCCAGTCGGGTGAGAACATCCTTAAGGTCGACAAGGTGCTGTTCAAATGTAGGTGAGGCCACGACAATATCATCCAGATATACGGCACAAGACTTATATATGAGCCCTGCAAGGACGGTATTCATGAGTCTCTGGAAGGTGGCTGGCGCGTTGCACAGGCCAAAGGGTAGGACACGGAATTGAAATAGCCCACAGTGGGAAATGAAGGCAGTCTTGGGCCTTGAGTCCTCTGCGACATCCACCTGCCAGTAACCTTTGGCCAAGTCAAACGTGGAGATATAAGTCCCCCTGGCCAGGAAGTCAAGAGACTCATCAATTCTTGGGAGTGGATATGAGTCCTTCACCGTGAATTTGTTCAGGCCACGATAAACTCTCCTCTTGTCCTTCAAGCGTGCGTATAAGTTCCCCTGTAACCGGGTCATTGAGTTGCAGCTGTCTTATGTGCTCGCGATCTGAAAAGATCACAGGAGGCAAGGCACGCAGATCAAGGCCCCCTATAACAGCGTACTCAGGCAGAATGTCCATGGGTGCGTCACAAAAAGGCATGGGGTTTCGAGACAGGGCATCTGGAACTTTATTACTAACCCCTGGCTTATGGACAATGTTAAAATCAAAATCTTGTAAGCGGAGGGACCACCTAGCCAGCCTGCCTGTGAAATTTGTGCGGGACATTAACCATTTTAGACTGCTGTGGTCCGAGACAACGGTCACATGAAGACCCTCAACATACGGTCTGAAGTGTTCTAGGGCCCAGATGACAGCCAAACACTCCTTTTCTGGAGTAGCATAAGGCTTTTCAGATTTGTGCAGTGCACGGCTCGCATAGGCCACCACAACCTCTCTGCCATCCTTGCCCTTTTGCATGAGGGCGGCACCAAGTCCGACATCACACGCATCAGCGTGAACGAAAAAAGGAAGGGAAAAGTCCGGAAATCTCAAGACAGGTGCAGAAGTCAACTTGTCTTTAAGGTAGTCCATGGCTCCCTGACATGCATCCGTCCACACGAACAGAACATCTGCCCTGGTAAGTGCAAACAGTGGCTCTGCATGGCGAGCATATTCGTGGATAAAACGTCTGTAATAACTTGTCAGTCCTAAAAACTGTCTGACTTGTTTGACGTTGACTGGTACTGCAAAATCTGTGACTGCTCTCACCTTGTCCTTGTTTGGCAGGATGCCCTCTGCGGTGATGTTATAACCAAGGACGGTAAGTTCACTTCGGCAGAACTGACACTTTGCTAGCTTTATAGATAGCCCTGCTGACTCCAGTCGGGTGAGAACATCCTTAAGGTCGACAAGGTGCTGTTCAAATGTAGGTGAGGCCACGACAATATCATCCAGATATACGGCACAAGACTTATATATGAGCCCTGCAAGGACGGTATTCATGAGTCTCTGGAAGGTGGCTGGCGCGTTGCACAGGCCAAAGGGTAGGACACGGAATTGAAATAGCCCACAGTGGGAAATGAAGGCAGTCTTGGGCCTTGAGTCCTCTGCGACATCCACCTGCCAGTAACCTTTGGCCAAGTCAATCGTGGAGATATAAGTCCCCCTGGCCAGAAAGTCAAGAGACTCATCAATTCTTGGGAGTGGATATGAGTCCTTCACCGTGAATTTGTTCAGGCCACGATAATCAATGCAAAATCTTGGCTCTCCTGATGGTTTTTGCACGATCACCACAGGAGCAGCCCATGGGCCTGAAGCAGGTTCAATTATGCCATCCTTTAACATTTCTCGAATTTGTCGTTCTATCAACTCCTTTTTTGCCGGAGAAGAGCGGTAAGGAGCGAGATGGATAGGCTTTGCAGTACCCGTTTCGATCCTATGTTTAACCATAGATGTGTGGCCCAAATGTCCATCAAACAAAACATTGAAGGTCTTCAGTAATTCAGCCAGCTGCCTTTTTTGGTGATCATTTAGAGAAGCCCCTGCTATTTTTCAAGCAACAGAATGTTTGTTTGTTTTTGTTTTAGATAACTATAATAACCCTGCATATTATTTAATTCTTTTACATTCTTCTTCTTAAATCAGTGTCAATAAACAGCATAATCACAACTTGTGAGAACATGCCCCACTATTTAAAAAAGTACCACCACAAAGGCAATGCCATGAGATACTCTTGGAATACCATGGTATTCTCTAAAGTACCTCACAGTACCATGTAAATACCATGGTACATAAATATGGTAATCAAA